GACCAAACCCCGAACTCGCACGGCTCAATTCTATCCGAGGTGCTTGAACGTGGCGTGCCCTCAGCGTGCAACAGTCGTCAAGGTCAGGAACTTCTAAGGCTTAGGAGCGGGGATTTGTAGAAAAGAGGCTTGCAGCTTCGGGTTCAGGAAATGGAAAATGAAGGGAGCAGGATTTGGGGTTGAGGGAGCAGGGAATAGGGTTCAGGGCTTCGGAACCGGGTGTTATCAGCAAGGGTCCGCAAATTTTCTTGGGCATTCCGAGGTTCAGGGCGCTTAAATTTCAGGTTTCGGGTTCAAGCGCGCAACTCCGCAACCCGCCGCTGAGCATGGAACCTGAAGCCCAAGCCGAGGGAGTTCTTGGCCTCTGCAAAGCTGAGCAGGCTCTTACGAAAACTGGGGTGCCGGGCTTTGGGCACAATTCTTTCGTCGGATCTGGGGGTGCAGCTTTCGATCTGGGAGCCATTTCCGACAAATCTGAGCTTCCAACTGCTAAGAATTTCCACAGCCTGCTGGCACAGGCTGCGAACCCCTCAAGCCTAAACTTTAATTAAGGAGGTCATGCAAGCCCGCGGCCAATACCAAATTCACTCACGGGAGCGCAAGCTGCAAGAATCCAGCGTCAACTCTTCTGTACATACGAGTACCTAGACCCCCCAAAGTAGATAAAATAATGGCCCAAAACCTATAAAAAGACATTATTCTACATACTTTTGGGGTCCAGGTAATACCACATTAAATACCGGGATGGCACAATGTCATCTCACACTCGGAGGAAATCAAAACATCATTCCAGGACTGGTTCGGGCTACGAGGATCACCAGAGCACTCGGAGCAATAAATGCGTCACATCACGGGGTCCAGGACTGCTATATCCTCACAAAATGGCGCCTCACAACATATGCAAAGAAAACATGCTGACCCACACGAATAATTTTCTTTGGCAGGACTAGTTGCTGGGCAATGCTGCGCATTCAAAGATCACAGAGGCAACTCCGCCTCCTCGACCGTCTTCCAGCCCCGGAGGGCCCACCTGGCATCCTTTTCAGGATAGCCCATGTCCTGCTCAAAGTGTGGGCCAGAGTTCGGGGATTGCGATTGGTGTGTGCGTATGCCAGTGTTTGTGTGCGCGGGTGTGTGTGTGTGTGTGTGTGGGACAGCCAAGTCATGCCTCGAAAAACCCACGATCTCACTGCCTGATGGCGTCTCGATGTGGAATCCTTGGCTTCAAAATTCTAAGCACCCAATCTCTTGAACCCGAAACTTGAAATGGCAAGCCTTACCTCACGCTTGAAGCCCTCAACCCCTCAACCCAAACCCTAGGTTCGGCCTGGAGGCAGCGCAAGCCTCGAGCCGATTCATGGTTGAGGGCTGCGTTGAATTTACAGGCTTACACTGCTTTAGGGGTTGAGTCTTCGAATGGCACAGGGCAACTACAGCTCGAGTGAGACACGCGTAAACACAGGTAAGAACAAGAGCGGACCCTTGCGGACGCTACAGCAAATTTTGACGTCACCACCCCACTCCCAGACCACCACGTCTTCAAACAGGAACCACATTGCTATGCTTTCGGGAGAAAAGGAACTTCGTTCTGAAGATGCGCACCAAGTTAAGCATGTTGATGACCTTCCAAACACTATAGAGTCTATAGAGGTGAACGGATCGGCATCCCGCATCCCAGACTTAGTTCACCGACTGTGGCTCAAATCCCCTAATTTGGGACCCTATACTACTATGATCATACTTTTATAATAATACTACTATAATAATGCTACTATAATAATACTACTATAATAGGAACCCCCATTAAGGGATCTACTTAAGAGCCCCGGATTATTGTCGTGACGACCGAGATCAAGGCCCAGTAACCTCTCAACATGGGGGAGTAGACTGGGCCCCCAACAGAAGCACAAGTAACAACCCCCAGGGTTTAGGGTTTAGGGCAGAAATCCCTCTAGAACTCCTGTGTGTATCCCTTAGATCCAAACATATAACCCCATGTTGATACGCGGCAAGCGCTCTTCTTTGTTTGGTGGCTGAGGCTGAAGCGATTCTCCATGCTGCCTGGGATTCGCTTGCTCGGGCATACTTTGAACGGTGATGTTGGATGAAACCGCTTCGAGCACTCTATGAAATCTGCCACATCAAATGGCGACTATCCAGACTGTAACTTGCATATATTTACATATGTATATATATGTATATATATATATGTGTGTGTACCGTATGAATACGGATATGTGTAACTGTGAATTCTTGTTAGTTTAGTGTCAATAACTTGTTCACTGGACATGGGATTCTGTTCAAACAAGTTTTTGGCATGGTGACCATGAAAACCCCAGCTCATGCTTGACATTCTTAAGGCCAGCTAATGCCGTATATTCGATGCTCCTACGGCTGGGGCAATGCTTTCTGTTTTTGGTGGTTGCTCAAGAGTGTGCGGACTACTATAATTGGCCCTGCTACTATCCCACGAAAAACTTTTCCCTAACTCAAAGGTTTTTCTCGAGGTATAGAATCTTGCCAAGCGACACATGTACGTGAGGGCGACCCACTTTCCCCCGGCTTGTGCAGCTACATGTTGTAAAGATTGTTGGACATATGGCCATCGAATCGGTTCGGGAAGTTAGCCACTGCAGTTTGCTGGGTTTGAATACAGCAACCTCCCACCCCTGATTACCATGTAAAGATAGATAGCAGAACATGGTTTAAACTTAACATCTCCAGTTGAGGCCGGTGGTCAGCATTGTATTTGAGACATCAAAAAACGATAAATTCATGAAGCACTACTTGTCACAATTCATGGTTTAGGGTTTAGGGTCACCAGCCTTCCACAACTGATCATCGGTATCCGTCCAAGCAATGAAGACAAGTCAAGCTTTCTGCCAAACTAACTAGGAAAAGTCGGGCCACGTTCTTGAAGCCAACTGTAGTGATATGACTGCGATCAAAACGTTGAGGCATCTGCATTTTCAATCAGCTTCGAGCCTGACCCAAATTCAAAATCAGGCACCACTTCTGCCGATCCGAATGCCTTGGAAGGTGTCCTTGAAGCCAACGATGGCGATATTGCCACAATCGAAACCAATACAAGAACAACAAGTAGAATAAGCAAACACATCTCATCCATATGTCGTTATATATATATACATGTATCTATGCAGCCTTGACAGGAAACGGCTCAATTCATAACAACTAATAAGGTTTTCTTGGGATTATGTTGGTCTTGCTGTCCCAATTCTACCAAGAGCTTCGGAAAGCGTGTCTTTTAGTGTTCTTGTGCTTGTTTTGTGGCTTCAGCATTTTTTGGGCGTGCTCGAGAAAATCTTACACACGAAGCGGCTGAGGTGCATCTGCGCAGTAGGCTGTAAATCCTGCTGCGTCCGTGCAAATAACCGGCTACGGTAACAGGATGAAAGGAATACACGAAAGGGATGTGTCGGAGTTTTGGTGCAGAAGCCGAAGAAATTGGACTACCTGACTCCTCGTGCCAGGGCCCCGACAGGTGGGCAAATTCAGGCTCCGGGTGGTCGCCAAGCTTTCCAGCCGAAGCATCAGAAGAAGCATCATATCAGCTCTATAGTGAACCCCTCTCGGCCTTTGGGGTCGGTGCGCTTATCCCGTAGGAATGCGGGGGTTTCTGGGTGGTTGTCGGATGTACCGAAGCCCCCCAAAGTAGGTAAAATACTGGCCCAATACCTATCAAAGGCTATTATTCTACATTCTCCAGGTAAGGGAATATTCGGAATATTCGGACTGTTAAGATGTCGGGCTCAGGGTTCCTTCTCGACGATCGACGACGCCATGAGTGATTTCCTTGTGGTGGCAGTTGCCACTATCATGGGTCTTGTGGGCAGCGGCTGTCGTATCAAAGTAGTACTGCCTGACTAACATAATGGCACAAAATGCCATTCTTCTACATACTGCTGGGGTCCAGGTTGCGACGTGATTTGAAGACGCCCTCTCAGCCGTGACTCCATTCTGAAGCCTCTATCACCTGCAGCTTCACGAGCAAGGATACTTTCCCAGCTGGTTCCGCGGGTGGCTTAGGGTATTTGGCTTAGGGTATAGCGTTCCGGGGTTTTGGGTTTAGGGCTTATAGAGCATTCCGCTGGCTTGGAGTGCAACGTGCACCCCAAACCCCTGCCCGAAAGCTTGAGAACCCTGAACTCGAAAGACCATTTGGAGAAACTGTAGCCCTAAGGGTCCAAGTACCTAGTTATCATATACTCTCCAAAAGAGTAACCTACATAACTACCATCCTATAACCGAGTACCTGATTCTTGGGTCCTTTGGACCCTTAGGGTAGCAGAGTTTATCCTTTCGGAATCCTTACAAAACCCTTCTAGATTCCTTCAAACCGCACCCTCAACCACCGACTTCCATTTTCTTTTTGGCATTCGAAAGAGCAAGAGCTGGCTCTGGTGAATGCTCAAGGGGCACGTGTGTATCAAGCTTGCTACATGTGCGGCTTGGGGTTTCCAGGGCCTTGGGCTTGTAGGCTTCGGTCATTCGCAGGTCTCCTACCTGAAACAAGGCGCAGAGAAAAAAGGCCTATACTACATTGCAACTGAAGTATTGGGGGCTTCCAGATGACTCATGGTTCTGAGGTTTCAGGTCTAGACTATATGTTTATGTATATGAATCTTAATTATGTGTATATGTGTATGCCATGCCTTATAGCTTTTAGGGCATTTGGGACTAGGAAACATCAGGACACCTGCATCATCTTCCGTCACTCTGAGCCCCTGAGAACGCGTGCTCTGCAGACCTTTGCCCCGAGAGGGCCGCGACCTGGCTCCAACGCGCTTTGGGCTGACAGATGCCACGGGTTTAGGGTTTAGGGCAAGCGATCTATGAGTCTCCAATACACCGAGCGATCCTGCACGCCTGGCGCGCACCCCCAAACCCAAACCCAAAAAGCCCAAACCCCAAGAAGTCTGGAAACCTGAACGGGAGGCTGGGGCCTTCGCTGCGATCTCCGCGCCCCGGACCGAAATGCATCACTGGAAGCCGTCGCTGTAACGACCCGGACCTTTGGGCGTCTTGGGGAATTACACGTGGGCTTGGGTTAGGGGGGGGGGGCCAGGGTTATTTCGGGGTTTTCATCGTCGTTGAGGAGGACTGACTTTTGCCGGCTTTGGTACAATAGACGCTGGCCGCTAGTCCCCCCTCAATCTTCAGATTGCGTGCTTATCCACAAAAATATGTCGCTGCTGCTGCAGCACGCAGCAGGCGCGGCCACGGCAGCAGTACTAGAACCACTGCTACTGCTACTGCTGTTCCGGCTATTGCTGCTGCTGCTGCCACTGACACTACTGCCACTGCCACTACGACGACGACTACTACTAGGACTATCACTATTGCATTTGGCAAGTGCCAGCATTCCTGCGGTTAGGGTTTCGCGAGCCCCTGGCTTAGAAAGGGATGCTGCAGCGCTTCTGTCGCGCTCGGCCGCAGTGCCGGGTCCACCTGAAGCCGGGCATGACTGCAGCGTTACTGAATGGAACTTGGAGGTTCAGGGGTGGTTATAAGTAGGGTTGTAAGTCCCCTAATATTGGTTATAAGTATAGTTACCTCACTTATAACCCTACTTATAACTACCCATGAACCTCCAAGAATGACTGCATCTAGCATGATTCTAGAAGGTCGTGGAACATCCCAAGACTTCATGCATTCTTGGCTCTTGGACGGTCCTGTTGGAACATGCGTGTGGTCTGCCACTGTAAGGATCTCGTAGGTTCTGGCGTCTCTGATTTCTGACCGTGCTTAGCCCGCAAGCGCCTGGAGCAGAGATCCGAGGAAGTCCAAGAAGACCTGCAATCAAAAAGAAGTAGCTGTACTTGGAGGTTAAGGGGTAGTTATTAGTAGGGTCAGAAGTCCCCTAATATGGGTTATAAGTCTAGTTACACTACTTAGAACCCTACTTATAACTACCCATGAACCTGCAAGTATCTTGCAAAAGGTTCTTGGAGTTTAAGAGCTTAGCCGACCCGGCACTTCAAGAGCCACCCCTTTCAGCTTAGGATTCTTGGATTGAGGCAGAACGAACCGACAGCTGCAACTTCTGCTAGTTGCAGCACAGAGATGGGAGTTTCCCAAAATAGGGGACCCTAATATGGTTTATATACCCTAAATAGTATAGGATCCTTATTATAAGGACCCCCAAAATAAGGTACCCCTAATTTTCGGAAACTCCCAGATAGGGTGTCGGCTCTAGGTCCGTGGAAGGTTCCTTTAAAGGGATCTATAGGGGTTCCCTTAAAGGGTTCTATAAAGGGTTCTATAAGGGCTCCTTTAAAGGAGAAAGTGCCCTTGCCTCGTCGTTCGTTCGCATGCGCTGCTTCAGCGATGTCCTGCCATGATGCCCCTACACGTTCCCCTGCTCAAAATCGATGTCGAAACTAGACGTTTGGTTCAGGCCTGCACTGCTGGGAATTGCTGAGCCTGAACCCCGAAACCAGGAGCCCCTGAACCCTAAACCCCCCCGAAAAAAACCCAAAAGCCCAAAACTTTTGGGGTACCTTTATAGAGATCCTTTAAGGGTTCCTTAAAGGGATCTATAAGGGCTCTTTAAAGGGTTTAGGGGTTTATGAGTTTCCGATAAAATTGGGGACCCAGAGACTCCAAAACCCCTTAAGGAATATACCTTAAATCATATAAGGGATCCTATGATAATTTAAGGGTTTAGGGTTTAGGGTTTAGGGTTTAAGGTATATTCCTTACTTAAGGGGTTTTGGAGGCTCTGGGGACCCAGGGCAAGGGTCTCTGCCGCTCCTTTTGGGCACCAAGAGGTGCAAGGACCGATGCGGATCCACCGGCCTTTGGACACAGAACTGTGAGAGATGAAACCCCGGGTTTAGGGCCTAAGGTTTGGGAGTTTCCGAACATGGGGGACCCTAATATAGTAACCGAAAATAGTAGGATCCCTACTTTAAGGAGCCCAAAATAAGGTACCCCTAATTTTCGGAAACCCCGTTTGGGTTTGGGCTTTAGGGTAAGCCTGAACCCTGAACAAGCCCCTTCTCAACAAAGCAACGAGGCGGGGATATCCCACTCAACAGTTTATGTTTGGGTCATTTTTTGGAACCCTCCACATCGCGGCTGCACTCTACAGACCAGGTTTGCGCAGGGTGAGGCCGGTGAGAATGTGGGAGTTTCCGAAAATTGGGGGTACCAACCTAAACCCGCAGCCCGAAGCCTCAAACCGAAAGCCACTGAACCCTAGACCTTAAACCCTAAAATGTAAACCCTAAAGCCCCAATGCCTACCCATAGGCCCCAAAGTAGTTCCTTTTGGGGAATATATTATAGGATTCTATATACGAACCCCAAAAAGGAACTACTTTGGGGCCTTAGGCGGGTAGACCGACCTGAACCCGGAAGAACCGACATTTTGAAGGACTTTTATAAGGAAACCATAACAAGGAACCCTAAAAAGGTAGGTTTTTCAGGGTTCAGGTAGACCCCTAACCCCTAAACCCCTAAACCCCTAAACCCTAAACCCTAAACCCTAAACCCCTAAACCCTAAACCCTAAACCCCTAAACCCTAAACCCTGAACCCCTAAACCCCTATACCCTAAACCCTAAACCCCCTATGCCTAGACCCTCGCTCCCGAGGCCCTGGCATCGTGGCTGCCGAGGAAGGTGGCGGAGACTGCGACTCACGGAAGAGGCGACCATCCTCGTGGGCGTCTCTCCAGGGTTTAGGGCTTAGGGTTTAGGGTTCAGGGGTTTAGGGTATACACTCCTCGTGGGCGTCGAAATTTTCAGTGGAGTTGAATCTTTTTGGTGGGTTTTCTGGCTTCTAAATGGGTGGTTGTTAAAATTATGGTCCCTGTTTGGGTCCCTATTATAATACGGCACCTATTATTTAGGGTACCCAAAAAGGGGTCATAATTTAGACAACTACCCAAATAGGGGTTCGGCTTTGGGCTCATCGGGTTTATAGGGCTTAGGGCTTGCATGGTTCAAGGCTCCAAGGAATCAGGAATTAGGGATGATAAGGTTCCCGCACGAAGGCGCAGAACACTTCGAACGACAACGCGCTGTTGGTAGCACAGAAGCAACAGAGGGCATGCCGTGGCATGTCGGCAAGCTGACGTGCGTGCACCTGTAGAGTCTTGTAAGGCTTACCTTAACCCCAAATAACCTACCTTTTTAAGAACTTATATAAAGACACCATATTAGGGAACCCTAAAAAAGGTAGGTTCTGTAGGGTCCTGGTAAAGGTTTCTTCAAGGCTCGTAAGGTATTTCGGGTTGCCGTTGATGGGCTGCGTGCGTTCAGGATGCTTTAGGGGTTCACGGTTTACCCAAAGGCTCCATGTACCAATATAGTAAGAACTTAGGCCTTAAAGGGGCCCCTATATAGGTACTTTAAGGCCTAAGTATCGACTATATGGGTACATGGAGCCTTAGGGTTAGGGTTTTGGGTACTGGTTTTGGGTTTTGGGTTCAGGTTTTGAGGGGTTGAGGGTCCCCTGAACTGCAAAAGGATGTACAAATGGAGAAAATTAGGGGTACCCTTAAAATGGGGCCCTTATATAAGGATCCTACTATTTAGGGTACTATTTTCGACAACCTTTCGGAAGCAATGTCAAAGCCATGCCAGCACAAGCGCTGGAAACAAACCGAGGATCACCTTCTGCAGTCAGCGGTTCCGTGCTGCAAACTTTAAAAGGACCTCCATGCCGCAAACCAGTATGTTCACCTGCGAAAGCCACCTGTATGACCCCCCCCTTCTAACGCCCTGATACAACTAACTGACATATGGACGTCCTGTGTAAAGTACTGCGGCACGAAACGGCCGGTGGCCATCATGTGCGCTGGCAGCGGCCTTAGCCAAAGTGCTTCCAAAAGCTTAGAGTTTAAGGTTCAGTCTTCAAGAGTGTAGAGGGCACAGGGCTGCGGCTTTGCTGGTGAAGGGCTAATCTTAGTCTGTTTTGGCTTTTTGCTACTGCTACAGATCTCACCAGAAAGTGGGAAAAGACGGACTCTTCTCGAGGAATCCGCTGCTAGCCGTTGACCCTAAACCCTAAACCCTTCATAGAGTTCGCTGGCTGCGCTTCCCTTTGCCAGCCTAAGGGCTGAGGGCTCCGAAGGGCGCAAGGATCATTGAACCCTACATCCTAATCTAGACCCAAGAGTATCCTGGGAATAAAAAGGGTGCCCTTCTTGGTTTAAAGGGGCTTATAAGGGAACCTGAACCCTACAAAAAGGGAATAAGGGCCTACTCCAGGTCCTAGTAATCGTTATCATCACTGCTGCCGCCACTGCTTACAATCTGTCCGGCTCGCTGGCTCGCATCCACGGAGCTACGGACTTTAACCCAAAACCTTAAAACCTTCGACCCTCAGTTCAAGCTGCAAACCCAAAACCTTAAACCCCAAACCTTAAGCTCAAGCCCTAAACCCACCCAAACCTGACCCTAAACCCAAAACCCTAACCCCTAACCCCTAAACCCTAACCCCTAAACCCTAAGCCCTAAGCCCTAATCCCTAACCCCTAAACCCTAAACCCTAAAACCCTAAACCCTAACCTGACATGTACGTTCTGCCACGCGGCCCGAGGATGCCCATGATCCGCGCAAGGAGGCTCTGGACCGAATCGTTCTGGAAGAGAACGAAGCCTCCCGGGGCTTGCTGCTGGACTTACTTGTAAGGGGGTCTATACCTGGACCCTAACCCCAAGGGTCCAAGTACCCAATAATCATATACTCTCCCAAATATTAACCTACATAACTACTATCCTAAACCCAAGTACCTGATTATTGGGTCCTTTGGACCCTTAGGGTAAGGAACCTACCTTTTTAGGGTTCCCTAATATGATTTCTTTATATAAGTCCTTCAAAAGGTAGGTAACGTGGGGTTAAGGTAAGGGTTACTATAAGGGATCTATAGTAGGTTTCTATATCTGGACCGAGTCCTTACTTATAAAGGGGGTCTATAGAAGTTACTATAAGGGATCTATAAGGGTACTATATTATAGGGGCCTGAATGATCCTATAACTTACCTTTGGTTAGTAGGGAATGGAAGAATGGTAGTAATAGTAGTTTTTATTGTACCCCATTCCTCCATTCCCTACTAACCAAGGGTAAGTGGAGCTACAGTCTGGGTCCTATTAAGGCTTTATAGGGTTTAGACATTTGTTTGGGTGCCTAAAAGGCTTCAGGGTGCGCGGTCTAGGGTCCTATAAGGCTTGCGGGTTCAGGGATTAGGATCCCAGTAGGCTTGAGGGATTAGGAGTCAGGGTCATCATAACAACCACTGTGAGGGTTTCTACAAGCCTAGCTACAATGGCTAGTAGTAGAAGGGCTCATATTATGAGTTTATCATAGAGTTGGCGCTCCTTCACTGACTATATGTGCTCTGTGATGTAACCGAAGTTTTTTCACATACAAGCGGGCCATATTTGGAAACAGCATAGCCCAGTGTCAGAGCCCAAAATGACACCCCAAGCCTAAACCTGAAAACAGTCCAGAATCCTAAATCCTAAACCCAAAATCCTAAACACGAAATCCTAAACCCTAAACCCCAAATCCTAAACCCAAACTCCTAAACCCTAAACCCAAAATCCTAAACCCTCGTATAGACGAACAAGTGGAACCTGAAAGCCATCTTGGTCCTTGCAGAACAAAGCTGCAGAGCGGAGGCCTGCCCAGAGCTCTGCAACGATACATCCCAGGGACCTGGCCGTGGATTTGTGAAACAGAACTAGGGTTTAGGGCTTTGGGTTTGAGGTTTGGGGTTTAGGGTTTGGGGTTCAGGGTTTAGGGTTTGGGGTTCAGGGTTCAGGAGAGACCTACACATCCCTGCAAGTTGCTGATAACGCTCTGTAGAGCTGCAAAGCCGAAATTCTAACTCTGCAGAATAAGTCCAACGCAGACAGGAGTAACTTCGGACAGCAGTTGCGCTCGACCTTGAGCTCTCGATGCCATGCTGTCCCAGGGACTCCAACGCCTTATTTCAGCGCCCTCTATCCGAAAGCCCCTAAACCCCTAAACCCCTAAACCCTAAACCCTAAACCCCAAAACCCAAAACTCGAACCGCTTCATCGGTCTGGAGTCCCCGGGTCCCTATGACAGAAGTCTCAAAGACTTCGGGTGCAGAAGAGCCTTATATAAGCGCTTGTGGAGCTGTGTCTGGGCTTCGGGCTTGTTAAGGTATATTGGGGTTTAGGTCTCAGGGCTTCGGGTTTATAAGGTTTCGGTTTAGGCTTTGGTTAGTTCAGGGCTTTGGGTTTCTAGTCCGGTGCCGCCAGATTAACACTAACACCAAGATGAGTACCCCGTCATTCAGGCAAAGCTTGCTTGAAGACGAATAAGAAGGGTACGAATAAAAAGGGTATGGACAGAACACAAGAGTGATGTACTCCTTTCGGAAGTATGGTATAACCTTATAAAGCCGCCATAGAACCAGAAATAACCCTCATAGAACCCTGCAGGGCCTGAAACTCCGATGAAATCCTCCAAAAAGTCCTCAACTTATCTGAATTCCGGGATGTTTAAGGTCTTGTTAAGTTTTTTGCTTGTTGGTTCAGGGTTTGGGGCTTAGTTGTGCATTTTCTGAGGAGGCGACCAGATGTCGATCTTCTGGTCGTACGCCAGGCCCAAGATCACTTCCGGGGCCCTGGCTGGTACTGTCCCTCCCAAAGGGTGCAACTGTTGATGATATCAATCCTGCATTACCCATAATAAGGCATATACCATAATTCCCGTAGTTTAGGGTCCAAGTACCATTCATGATATAAACCCTGCATTACCTGAAGGGCCCTAAACTATGGGAATCATGGAATATTCCTTACTATGGATGGAGAATGCAGGATGTATATCATCCACCGAAGTACCAGTATACTGGGTACTTAGTACCCTGAAGTATTATGTTCCTATACGGCTACTTGGACCCTCTGGGTTGCTTGGGGTCTGCAGGATCCCTAAACCCTAAACCCCTAAACCCTAAACCGAACCAAAACTAACTTACGGTAGTTATCTCTAAACCCTAAACCGAACCAACACTAAGTTACGGTAATTATCCCTAAACCCTAAACCCTAAACCGAACCAAAACTAAGCTTATGGTAGTTCCGAACTTCCGGGCCTGTAGGAGCGCGATTGCACGTAGTTGGTCAGCCTGGCAGCCGAAGGGCCCGGAAAAACCGCGGGAGTCCTCCTTTCTCTTACCTTTGGTTAGTAGGGAATGGAAGAATGATACTCATACTAACCAAAGGCAAGTTCTTCGTGGGTTTAGGGCCCACCGTCGGAATCTGGTGAGCCCAAGACCTGCTAAATATAAGGAATGGCTCCTAAACCCGAATACGAAGCCTGCTACACCTTAAAGCCCTAGACTAGACCCTATAAACCTTGACCCCTAAACCCTACTTGGAGGTTCATGGGTAGTCATAAGTAGGGTTATAAGTCCCTTAATATGGGCTATAAGTATAGTGACCCTACTTATAACCCTACTTATAACTACCCTGAACCTCCAAGTAAAACCTAACTACTACGAGCAGTAGACTTGGTTCTCCTCCCAATGCGGCCCAGGAACGAGTCGTCCACGAAGCAGGAGGAGCCGAAATCGATGACCTTTACCTCCGGAGCTTTTTGGCGTTCATCATCTAGGGGGGGCTTTATAGGGCTAGATGGAGGGGTCTTAAAAGGATGTGGGGTGTCGTGGTTTAGGGATTCAGGGTTAACGGTTTAGGGGTTGCTTAAGAGGGTTTAGGGTCAAGGGCTCCCATGTAGAGCCTGGGCCTAGGGATTTGGAGTTTCAGAGATTGGGGATGTAGGGCTCTGTCGGCAAAAGCACCTCGCAGCGCGAGTAGCTCTTGATGAGAATATTCTCGGGCTTCAGATCCGCGTGAATCAAGTAAAGCTGGTGGATGTACCTCTGTACAAAGGAGGTTCGGAGAGCCCACATCTCATGAACTCCAAACCTTAAACTCCTCAAACCCGACATCCTGAAGGCGTACAGTTACAACTTGAGCTTACAACCGCAAATCGTTTAAGCCCAAAATCGCTCTTCAAACCCAAGACCGGTGAAGAACAAAGTCTAGAGGCTTTACAATTAAGACCCCTTGACAAGCTATCAAGGAAGGAAGACTCGGACTTCTAAAACCCTGATAAGACCCCCTTGACACCAATCGCCAACGCACTCCCCGAAAACGCTGCGATGCAACAACCCTACAGAACCCTGATCAAGCCCTTGTCGAGCTGCATCAATTCTGATATCGTCCACCCCCGCAACCCTAAACACCTAGACCCTAAACCACTCAACCCTCTCCCCCTCTCAACGTGGTAATCGGGAGCACTCCAACGCAACGAGGATCTGCTTCGAGATTCTGCCAGGAAATCTAGGAATCTACGGGTTCTACCGCAGGGCTAAGGCCTTCATATAGACATTATATATACACAGACAGTATTAGTATATACTCATCTTGATATTCTAAGCAGCTATAAATAGGAACAAACACAAACCTAATAACTTTGTGTATGTATATTATATATATATATATATGTTCGATAAGGGTCAGGGCCTCCGAACTTGCGGGGTTTGCCAGCTTGGGCTTCTACAGCGAGGGTACCAACCTTGAGGCTCCTGATAGTATCCCGGACTCAAGTCTGGTGCCCTAAACCCTTACCCTAAGGCTCAAAAACAGCCCAAAAGCCATAAATATATATATATATATATATAGTGTGTATGTATATATATATATATATATATATATATATATAGTATGGCCTTTCGGAAAAAGCCTTAAAACGTGAGTCCTTAGAGCCTAAGGGTTATGAACCCTTACAAACCCCTGTAAACCCTTATAAGACCCTTGCAAACCCGGCAGTGCAGTCTCGTGTCAGCCGACCTAGCCCAGCAGTGGCACTTGAAGGAACTCAAGACCCTCAAGCACCGGTCCGCACCGAGCAAGAAAGCTTGTCAAAACTATGGTCCCTTTTTGGGTATATACCCTAAATATTGAGTGACGTACATAATACTATAAGGACCCAAAAGGGGACCCTAATTTTGACAACTACCCACATGCTTGCTCGTCCTCTGCAGCCGCCCCAGGGTGAAGTACGGCTCCTCGCAGGCCTTAGTCCCGTTCAAGTTGCAGTGTAGGAGTACAGACACTACTGGACGTACTTATAAGGGGGTCTATAAGGGTTACTACAAGGGATCTATAAGGGTACTATAATACAGAGGCCTTAATGATCCCATAACTTACCTTTGGTTAGTAGGGAATGGAAGAATGGTAGTCATAGTAGTGATAATTGTACCCCATTCCTCCATTCCCTACTAACCAAAGGTAAGACTCTTGCCCCTTCGCCCGTGAAAGCCCTGGATCGCGAGTCTACACCGCGGCAGGTGCTGCGCATCTCATGGAGGCCTCCCGGTTGTACTTGGAAAACTCGTAGAGGTTGTCGCGTAGAAGCTCCTGGCCACCCAGTTTTCAGCTGTTGCTCGCACGCCCAAAAGGGTCCAAGTACCGTTATAGTGGGTACTTAGTACCCTGAAGTATATACTATACGGTTACTTTAGGGTACTTAGTACCCTAAAGTCCCTAAAGTATATACTTCAGAGTTGCCATGCTCTGCAGATCCCTTCTCTCTTTCCCTCAAGACTCGGCCCGGCCGTGACAATTATGAGGTGCTCTTTGTGGTAGAAGTAGTCCTTGGGATGTCAGCTTGATTTGGGAGTTTCCGAAAATTTGGAGCCCTAATATAGTAATTACCGTAAATAGTAGGGTCCTAATATTTTCGGAAAATCCCATTTAGGGATGTTAGCTTGCTTGCCATCCTGCCTGGAGAAATGCTGCACTGCAAAGCGCTATGCTGAGAAGCATGGTGAAACACTATCCCCCGGGTGAGGGCCAAGGATTGAGGGTGGGTTGTGGGTTGGAGATAATACAGGGGCCTGAAAGAATTAGAATAGGGTTTTGGGGCCTCTTATTATATGATTACAGTAAGGAGCCCCACCAAGTGTAGGTAATTACTACGGCACCTATAGTGAGCATTGCATCGGCGTTTGGCTCGATCGCTAACGATCCCCCCAGCATGATTTATCGGCGATATACATATCAACAACGCCTCACAAACTCGTATGCTGCTGCGCCGCCAGAATATACAGTCAGTGTGCCATCTACTCTGCCGCGAACCCCTTCAAGCCTTCCTGTCTCGACGGAGATGGCCGTGTTCCGGGGTCACTATTTTGCGACACTTCGATTGTGCATGAGGATGCTAGTCGGCACTCAAGTCTGCAGGACAGCCAGGATTATGAAGTGCTTCGGCATGTACAAGGCCCACTGACCCCACCTCACCTCACCTGCCAGTGCCAGTGGGAGACAACCGCTAGCTTCGTGAAAGCTCAAAAGGACACACCCCAAACCTTACAGGCGCCAAGCAATGCCGGCCGAGACTCCACCAACGCTAAGCAGTTCTTGTCGTCGATGTTGTCCTTGCTAGACTAGAGAGGCTTGAGCATTCGGGGTAGTGTCGCTTGAGGGTTTGCAGTTGTTTCGGGTTTAGTTTAGGATGTGTTTGGGTTTACAGCATGCGGCTGCTTCGGGTTTTAGGTTTTATAAGGCCCACTTGGCGGCCTCCGGGAAAAAGCAAAGCTAAGCTCCAAAGCCTCAACCATGCCGACCGTACCCCATAGGCTCCATATTCGTTCCCTTTTGGGAGCACCTTATGGGATCCTACATATGAACCCCAAAAAGGAGCTACTATGGAGCCTATGGGTAGACCTTAAGCCCGGTTTGAACCAAAGCGTAAACCTCGCCCTTGGTGGGGACCCCTACCCTATAATGGGCTTTATAATGGGTATATAATAGCTATACTAAGGGTATACACCTAGGGGTCCTTATTAAATGAATCCTAAACCCTAAACCCTAAACCCTTTATAGAACCCTTTTTGATCCCTTAAATTAAATACCTAGGGGTCCTTATTAAGGGACCCATCGCATCTCTGAGCCGCCGACGACGTTGGCGCGAATCAGCCTGGCAAGTCATCCCAGCGGCCGGTATAGACAACCCAGAGACTCCAAAACCCCTTAATTAAGGAATATACCTTAAATTATAGTAGGATCCCGAATATGATTTAAGGAATATTCTTTAATTCAGGGATATTTGGAGTCTCTGGGAATCTAGGGGCCTTAGTAATTGGGTACTTGTCAAGATTAAGGCCCCTTTTTTGGGTACCCCAAATATTAGGTGCCGTATCATATTCGGGACCCCAAAGTGGACCATAATTTTGACAACCACCCAGTTAGAATAGGGTTCCTTTAAGGATTAGTATAAGGGTTCCATAAGGGCACTGTAGGGTTTAGGACTTTCTGGGTTCTTGTTACGGGGTGTGATTCAAGTTGCCATAAGATCAAAAAGCGAGCTATTGTAAATAATATGGCTTCTTTATTGTGGCCAAGTAACTTAAGTACCTAGGGAATCCAGTTACCAAAATAGTCGACTACTAACCATAGTAGAATGTATACCCCAGCAACCTGCTATATGCGTGACTGGAGCCTTAGGGATTGCTATTGCTTAATACGCTTTACTTACCGAAGGATGGGAAGTTTCAGAGTGATGTTGCCTTGTTTTGGGGTTCCTTTAGCCTTTGAAGATGGGTCATCTAAACCTCACCCAGAAACTCCAATATCCCTTAAGTAGGGGATATTCCTTAAATCATATTCGGGATCCCTAATATGATATGAGCAATATCCCTAATTCAGGATATTGGAGTCTTTGGGCAATGATAGGGCCTATAGCACGGAGGCTGGCTTTGAGAAGCAGCCACAGCCATCCATTCGAGCGCCCAGGGGAAGCTGTGAGGGTCTACCGGTTCATCTGTGGAAAAGGTTGGGCATAGATGAAGGGATGTAGAGGGCACATCGGAGAAGGTGATGCGAAACAAACCATCTCGAAGACAAGTCTGCCATCATCCGGGAGTTACAGATCAAATACGAGATTTCGTCATGAGCCGTGGTCCTTACTATCACAAGCCCTCGAAGCTGAAGATGTCGTGTCTTCGATTTTTGTGGCTTTTTGACCTTTGGTTAGTAGGGAATGGAAGGATGGTAGTACTAGTCGTTATAATTTCGTTATAATTGTACCCCCTTCCTCCATTCCAGACTAACCAAAGGTAAGTCTTGGCTCTGGTTGTGGGATTTGGAGGGTTCCGTGGTTTACGGCGTGGGGTGGGGGGTTGCCGGTTCAGGGCTTCGTGTTTCCACGGCCGTTTCAGAGCATGTTTGCAAGGAGGACCTAAATCGGAAGCCTAAAGACACAGGCATTTCAGGGGCTTGGCAAAACTTAACCACAATATAAGGGAATTCATGATTATGTTCCTTGTGCTTCTTGCGTGGAGGTTTAAGGTTTAGGGCATTTATCATTTCTTGTTGTTGAACTTTGAGGGGTGTAATTCAGGCTTAAGATGTAAAGGCATGTTTACCAGGAGGAACCCCGAGACTTTGGAGCCTCAGGAGCCTAAACCCCCTAAACCCTAAACTCCTAAACCCCCTAAACCCATTAAAACCCCTAAACCCCCTAAACCCCAAACCCCAAAACCCCTAAACCCCTAAACCCTTAAAGAAAGAACCCTGAGACTGTAGGGCCTTAGGAGCTTGATCTCGTCCAAGGACTGGTCCAGGAAATCCTGGGCCACTCGGGCCAATGAGGAAGGCAGAGCCACGGTTTAGGGTTTAGGATTTAGGGTTTAGGGTTTTAGGGTTTAGGGTTTAGGGTTCTGCGACTTAGGGCGAAGTAGAAGAAGGGGCTTATAGGGCGTATAGGGATGATTATAGGGTTGATAGGGTTGATGGGGTTTACAGGGCGTATAGGGTTTATAGGGTTTTCATGGCTTATAGGGCTGATAGGGTTTAGAGGGCTTAGAGGGCTTATAGGGTTTGTAGGGCTTCTAGGGTTGATGGGGTTTAGGGTTTATAGGGTTTAGGGTCAAACCCTGAACCCTCGACAACCCTAGATCGTCAGAAAGCACAGCTTGCTCTCTAGACCTGTCTAGACTTCCCTAACCCCCAAAGCGAGAGTCCTTGTTGTTGTTGATGATCTTCATGCAGACCATCCTCCAGGAGTTAGAGAACGGCGGATGTTCAATCAGAGGCGGAGCTCCAATCGCTGGTTCGTTGTTTTCTGTACTTTCCTGCGACAGCCGTAGCTCTTGGTGTGTCATACATCATGTGGTCTTATGGGCATTCCCTGAATCCATGTAACTTGGTGAACGTTGTTGTGCTTCCGATACTGAGCATGGCATTGCTCTTGCCGCCATCGCAAGTGTGGACTTCGGGGCGGTCGGGGGTTGGTGGGTTTTGGGTTTGGAGGGTGTTTTCGAGAGCTGGCTTGATGGCCTTATGGGATTAGTTCGTATAGGCTCTGGACTTGAAGGGAAAAGAACTGAGAAGGTTAAGGGTTTGAGCCCAGGGTGTAACAAAAAATGAATTCTTGGACGTTTCCACTGCTCCAACGAGAGTCCGAAATCCTACTTGGAGGTTCAGGGGTAGGTATAAGTAGGGTTATAAGTAGGGTAACTATACTTATAACCCATATTACGGGACTTATAACCCTACTTATAACTGCCCTGGAACCTCCAAGTAAGCCCGACACCCAAAGGCAGTGCCGCTCCTGTTGTTCTCGAGGTCAAGGCATTGGACCGCACGGGAGAAGGCAGCAGAGCCAAGATACTCTAGCACCTCGACTTCAACAAAGGTTTAGGGTTCAAGCCCAGGTGCAACACTCCTAAGCCACAAAGTGCAGAGAACTGAAGCCCCCACCCCATAGATCCAAAATCTGGAAATCCTAAACCTTGGGCCCTAGCCCAGACCTGTATCCCCGACCCCTACAAAATAGAAGGTTATGACCCCCTAATTAGAGGGTAGAACCCTTAAAACGGTAGGTCTTCGGATCGCAAGGGACACCCTACACCGCCTTACACTGGAAGAGCAGTGAGAGCAAACGACGCACTTCGGAACACTCGCAGGCGGAGGCAAGGATGGCACATCAACTCTTTCGGCCTGCTAGCGATGTGGGGGTTTCACTCTTTTGGCTCTGGGGATTGGGGATTCCGGGAAGGGGCGGCGATTTAGTGTCAGGATCCAGCGATTTGAAGCCCTTGCAGGGTCCCCAAATTTACGGGGGCGTACTTGGAATGGGGTTCTTCTGGAGACTATGGCATGAAGCTATAAAGGAACCTCGGGGAGCAGCCTGTTCTAAAAATCATCGAAACTACTTGCGCAACAGCTGCCGAGCAGCCTGATACCGACCGGCAACAATACCTTGCAAGCATGCGCGTGGGCAAGGGGGGGTGGGAGTGGCCCGATAGGTGATGGCAAATACCAGACATCACAGATCAGGGTACACTATGCGGCATAAACCTGTATCCTGAAGCCCTATATCCTCCATCCCAACTTAAAAGCCGAAATTGGAATGAAAGCGTCGTAGAAACGCAATTACGGAACCCCAACAACAAGTAGGCATCAGAACCAACAAAAACCTGTTTAGGGTTTAGGGGTCAGGGTGGTGCATTGTACATTCCCTTATTCTAAAGTTCAGGGCTTACCTTAACCCCACGTAACCTACCTTTTTAAGGACTTATATAAAGAAATCATATTAGGGAACCCTAAAAAGGTAGGTTCCTTAGGGTCCAGGTAAGGGTTCTTTTGAAAGGCAGCGCGAAAGCTAATCTGGCGTGCTCAATAAATGGGACTCCCAGAGTCCCGATATCCTTTAAGGGATCCTTAGAGGGTTCCTTTTGAGGGATCTATACTTAAGGGATGTATAGGGTATAGGGTTTAGGCTACCCCGAGACTCCAAAACTCTTGAATTACGGAATACACCTTACCATCATAGCGGGATCCTTATTCTGATTTAGGGTATTTTCGTCCTTAATGCGGCATGTTCCTTAATTGAGAGGTTTTGGAGTCTCTGGATAGCCTCGGTTCGCAAAACACGAAATCCAACATTCATTAGCCAATAAATACCCAAGTATCGGGGCTGTCACAATTACAAAGGCTTGGAGTCCTGTAATATACATTGTAACAGTCCACTGCCGTACGAACCATCACGGCATACGAATGTCAACTATTTCAGACCACTATATGACGCCCTAAAGGCCCTAAACCCTATTCCAACCCCAAACCTTCAACCCAAAACCCTATTTTAACCCCAAACCTTCAACCCTACATTTACTAAGCCGTCAACCCTAAAACATCCAACCCAGGGAGCCACGTACCCAGCCACGATGCTGTTAAGCCGTATCGGGAAGTCCTTTGTCTCCTCAAAGCCTCGAAAGGTTGCAAGCAACGGTTTAGGGTTTAGGATTTAGGGGGGTCCAGGGGAGGAGAGGGGTAGGCTTCAGGGAGGGTGGAGGGTTTAGGGCTTAGGGTATCGGGTTTAGGGTTTCAGGTTCTCACGGATCGAGCGGTGTGTAAATCTAAGGGTCTCGGGGCTTAAGGTTTCGGTTGTTCTCGACGTGAGGATATGCTTAACTGGGTTCTTGTTAAGGAACTTAATTTAAGTTACCATAATAAGGAACCCCTATTATTTACGATAGATCCTTATTATGGTAACTTAAATTAAGTTCCTTAACAAGAACCCAGTTAAGGTTTACGTTTCGAGGCTTCGGGCTCTGGGGTGCTTCTCACAATCCGAGGCGTAGGGTTGAATACTCAGGAACTACGGTGGATTATATAAATCCTGCATTAGCCATAATAAGGAATATACCACAATTCCCATAGTTTGGGGTCATTAAGGTAATGCAGGATTTATATCATCCACCGTAGCCACGCTTTGGGTTTCTTTGTGCTTCGAGGAGTAAAGTACTTAGGTTTGAGAGTTTGGGTTTCGTCATATGCCGGAAGGCCAGCTTGTTATCGGGTCTAGAGGTTTTGAGAAGTAAGGCCTAGTGATGTACCTAAACCCCCGCAAAGTAGGTAAAATAATGGCCCAATACCTATAAAAGGCCATTATTCTACATACTTTGGGGGTCCAGGTACTTATCGTTGGTTAGTAGTGAATCGAAGAATGGAAGTAATAGTAGTTATAATCATACCCCATTCCTCCATTACCTACTAACCAAAGGTAAGGGTAGGGCTTTGGGGTTGGAGATTGCTGGAGTTGCCAAAGTGTTTCGTGCAACCCGAAGCCGAGCAGCCCGTCCGATCCCGTTCGTGAACAACTCGGAGGTTGAATGAGTCCTTGGGGTTTAGGGGTCTAGGGTTTAGGGTTTGGGGTTTAGGGTTTGGGGTTCAGGGTTTTCGTGGTGCATCCGAACACTCACAGTCACAAAGAAGCTCTAGCAATGTAGCAGCTGTGCCACTGCAGGCCCTCAGCCTATGTCATCTTTACAACCCGTGCAAAAACACAGCTCGGTGCTATAAACCCTACCTCAAAACCCAAAAGTACGCAAAATGATTGCCGAACACCTATAAGAGGCTACCATTCTGCGTGCTTCTGGGGTTCAGGTAAACACTACCTGGACCCTTTGAGACCTACCTTTTTGGGGTTCAGTAATATGACTTCCTTATATGAAACCCCCAAAAATAGTCTGTTGTTTGAGGGTTTGGGTCCGAAACCCTAAACCCTAAGGCTGCATTCTGACCCTCCACTCCATACTGGCCCCACACCCTTTTTTTTTGTTTTGGGTTTAGGGTTTAGGATTCAGGGTTTAGGATTTAGGGTTTTGTTATTTTGTTTGAATTCGGGGGGTCCCGTTTTCCGGGACCCTGCGGTCATGCAAAAGGATTTGGGGCCCGAACGGATGTGGGAGTTTCCGAAACTTGCGGGTACCTTATCTGGGGGTCCTTACAGTAAGGATCCCACTACTCAGGGAACTATACTAGGGTCCCCTTTTTTCGGAAACTCCCATGTGACCTTTCTTGATGGCACCATGTGCAAGCGTTCAACTGACACCTCAACCGCCACTCGAATGCGCAAGGTTCCGCCTCGAAAGCATCGAATCGCAACCGAAAGAGCTGCAGTGTCGCTACCACTGGCTTGTTCTTGTCTGTCCTTCCAGTTTTTGCCGAATACGGGCTGCGAATTCTGCTAAACCTCTATGTTTGTCATCTTCCCCCTTGAAAGACCTCAAACAATAAACCCCAAGCCTAAGCTCAGGGTTTGCCCACCGCGCGGCATAGACGACGCCGTCCAGCTCTACTGGGTAGAAGGAGTCGGCAGACTCGGGATGGCCTTTGAGCTTTTAGGGCTTCTTCAGGGCTTTAAGATTTATACAGGGCTTATAGGGTTTAGGGCGTTCAGGGCTCTTGGGGCTTAGGGAGTTTAGGCTTTTCTTCTTGTTTTAACAAGGCCTCGCAAGAGTGGCTCTTTGTGGCTCTGCTGTACTGTTAGGACGGTTTTACAGAGTTTCGCAGTTGCTTTAGATGGCTTTGTGGGGTTCGGTAAGGGTTCTGCCTGGCTTGACTAGATTTTGTTGGATTGTTAGTGGGGCTTGACAGAGGTTTGCTGTTTCCAGTTCGCCGAGCGGCAGGCATTCCTGCATCAGAACATCAAGAAGCCCGGTTAAATGAATGGAATGTGCATTCCTCAAGGGGGAGTTCGAAAACCAAGGGGCCCAAAGTGAGATTGATGGGAACCTTACACCCCCTCGTGTATTTTCTTCAATATCATACGTCGGGGGCGTTATCATAGCAAAGCCCTGAACAAAACAATCAGAAACAGTTGGGACGTCATGCTTTACGTATGCGAGATGACCGAAGGGGCTTGGGCTTTAGGGCTCTTGCAATTGACGATGAGGGGCTTAGGGGTTGAGCCTTCACACAGGGCGTCAGGGGTTCGGCGAGCTTGGGGTTTATGTCATGCAGGGGCCTTTGTGATTAGAATAGGGTCGTGGGCTCCTTTTTCATATGACTGGAATAAGGAAACCTAAGGAACAAAAAATATTGGTAATCATATAGGCTTCTATCTGTCTGTATGGTACTCACTTAGACCCCCCAACTACCGTCTGATATATCCTAAATGCCCACTAGTAAGGAAAAATTAGGGTTCCAGTAAAGGTCCTGGCATGGGTCACGCCAATATAGTACCCAAAATAGTAGGATCCTTTTTGTAAGGACCCCTGATAAGGTACCACGTATTTTCGGAAACTCTCCCATATGGTACTTACCTAAACTCCCCAAAGTAGGTAAACTAATGAAAAATACTGGCCCAATATCTATAAAAGGCCATTATTCTACATACTTTGGGGGGTACTTAATCCCCAACCCCTAACCCCTGAACCCCCTAACCCTAACTTAAGGGTCTATTACGTTCTTCGGTTCCTCGAACCGACGAGTCGCAAATCTTCGGCCGGCCGTCTGGCGGCCGGATCTTGCCACCGCATGACAGCGCCTCCGCCCAGGGTTTAGGGCTTAAGGTTCATGGGGTTTTGTGTTTAGGGTTTAATTAAGGTTTGTAGGGTTTATAGGGTTTAAGGTTCATAGGTTTTAGGGTTTAAGGGTCTAGGGGCTTTACCTGGCTTTTGCAAAGGTTTTACGTCTTACCGGGCTTTTCTATCAGCAGAGTAGAGGGAAGGCAACAGGATTCATGAATGTTTAGGCTTCAGAGATTAAGGGTTGCTGCGCTTGGGATGTGGGCGTTGAGAGGGGTAGTTGGACAACCATGCTATCCTCTGCTGTCACTCAGAAGGCGAAAGGCCGTACGAAATGTGACAATGATCATGTATATAACCATAAAGGAATCAGCAAGCAGACGACAGTCAAACATCCACTTAAACCAGATCCGCCCCTCAACAACAAGAGCCGCAAAACCCTAGAAAAAAACTCACCCAACATGCTTTTCAACAACCTAAACCCTAAACCCAACACCCTAAACCCTAAACCCAACACCCCAAACCACAAGTTTTATACCCCAAAACCCTTGACAATCCGAGCAAAAGTCCCCCCCCAACAGCCGGCTTTTGGGGCCGCCGGGAGAGTGGTCGCCGTCTGCTCGAGCCCTGCGACGAAGTGGGTTTTTTGAAGCTTCGTTTAGGGTTTTATGCTTAGGGCTTGGGGTTTAGGGCTAAAGTTTAGGGTTTAGGGGATTTGAGGCTTAGGGTTTTGGGCTTAGGATTTTGGGTTTAGGGCTTAATGCTAGGGCTTAGGGTTAGGGGATTTGGGGATTTGGGGTTTAGGGTTTTGGGCTTAGGGCTTTGGGTTTAGGGTTTTTTGGTTTTGCCATAGGGGCCTCAAAAGTTCGATCGGGGTTCCTTTAAAAGGGAGACTGCAAGGGTTTAGGGTTTAGGGGCCTTAATGAGTAGAATAGGGTTTTTTTGGGCCCACTATACTATAACGATGATAAGGAACCGGCAAAATACATAGTATCGGTAATTCTTTAGGCCTCTATAGTCTAAGGTTCGTTTTTGCGGGGTTTGGGCTTTGGAGTTTTGGAAGTAGATTGGGTACAGTATTATCGGTGTAGTATTATCAGGCGCTGTGTCGTGTTCTAGGGGTCTTACTCGGGTCTTCAAAAAACCGCAGTACGATAATTCAGCCCATCTTACATCCCATCCCTCACGTTTCTGCCAGTGTGGCTTTGCAGTGCAGGAATCTGAGAACGGAGGCCACTGATTGCACTGCGTTAAGACTAGTCAAGGCATGCTACCAACGAGCATGATGGCACGTTTTGCCAGGCCCACTACCGCGTGCACTGCTATTCAAGGCCTTCTTGCGTCTTACTATTACTATTACTATTGCTAGTACTATTACTATTACTATTACTACTGCAAAAGTGTGGCCTGCACCACTCTCCTCAGCCGCTTCCGATGGCACTGCCTGGGCCTCACAGGGCTTGACAGCTGTGACTGTGGCCATGCAACCTCACCAGAGATTGGCATATGGGAGTTTCCGAAAATTGGGGTACCTTATTTGGGGGGTCCTTATAATAAGTATCCTACTATTTGAAGTACTATATTGGGGTCCCCTATTTTCGGAAACTCCCACATGAATCGGCGAAGTAAACATTGGCCAACTTGCTTGCGAAACATTTGCAAGGCTATGACGCACTAATTTTAAAACGCGGCTCCTTGTGGTGCACTGTAGTTTTCGAACATCACTACCTGGAAACACGCCCGCACGGAGGTCTGAATAGCTGCTTTGTGCAGCCACCAGGTTTCCCCTTGGTCTCGAGGACAGCGGTACTTGGGCCTGGGCCATCCAACATGAAGGGCAGTCGGACTGAGCCAGGGTCTAGGTTTAGGGCTTCAAAACTTCTGCCGAACTAACTGTATGCAGGAATCTCGGTACAATCCAGCTCGGGTCGGCCGGAGCACCAAGCAAACAAAATTGGTAAGCCGTGCCTTCGGCACGGCAACAAAGCCCTTGTTTTGATTGACTAACCTGCGCAAGTAATTAAAAATCCAGCAAATGGTTTGCTGGAGTTGCCCCAGAGCTGGGCACAGCGAACTGGTCTGCATCACTGCCAGAAATCGTCAAAAAGGTCCTTGCCGCCTTCGCTCAAGCCTATATGCATGTGAGCTTGCACGTCATTTCATGACGATCTCCGAATTTTTCAAATTTGGTGGCTGGGCCTTCTGCCCTCTCGAGTACCAACCTGGGCCCTTGGCATATCCACTGGGCGTGAAGAGGCCGGTATGATAGATGGAGTTGAGCAGGCCCGACTTCTCCAAAGCGATGTGCTCCTCTGTCTGGTTGTTAGTTTTGGGAATGGGGGAATGCATGATGGGGACAATTCTAGGGGATTATATAGATCCATTCCCCCATTCCCACCAGACAGTCCTTGAGGGTGTCCAAGTCGGAGTAGGCGCTTTTGTTGAGGGGCGTGGGAGTGCAGGCAGGGTCTGTTGGACCGAAGGAACCACCATAAGGCTTGTCACAGTCTTTGGGGGTCTCGTCAGCTGAGAAGCAATCGTAGCTGGTTGGGCAGGGCGTGTAAGAATCGCTGCAAGTCTGGTGGCAGGATCCATGTGTCCGAAGCCAGCTGGGTTCGATCATGGTACCCTCGCTGTAGTCATTCCAAGTCAGAACCTGCACGAACTCTGGCTGGTATTTGCTCGTCACCAGGAGGGAGGGCTCCAGCATCTGCAAGAATGGCACGTGGAGCATGCGGTTGCTGTAGCAGTCGCGAAAGCCCCGGTAGGCAGCCCCAATCGCAAAGGAGGAGAGGCTGTGGTCATTCTTGTAGTGGTCCTCCAGCCACTGCAAGTCCGCAGTGATCCACGGGTACGTGCCATTGGCCCAGCTGGGCACGGGGACCTCCCTCCTCGTCATGTAGTAGGCCTGGAAAGGCAAGGGCTGAAAATTGATCTCGATGTCGTTGAAGACCGGGACTACTGGGATGCCCTCGTGTCGGTAATAGTTGGACCGGCCAGTCCACTGACCCAGCTTCACCTGGGAGTTTCCGAAAATTAGGGGTACCCTGATTGGGGGCTCTTAAAATCAGGATCCTACTATTTAGGGTACTATATTAAGGTCGCCTATTTTCGGAAACTCCCACCTGGGCATCGATAAAGATGTTATTGTTCACCGCGTTGTCCACCACGATGGCCACTCCCATACCCCGTGCCTCGAGCTCATCGATGATCATCTCCACGACACTGTCCCAGGAGGTGAGCTGATAGTCGATCCACAAGCCGTCAATGCCACTGGCCTTCATCAGGTCCAACTGCTGCCCTACAACCTCCCGCTGATTCTGGTCGTAGAGCCCCAGGTAGCTCTCATAGTAGGAATTCCCCACGCACCAGTGGTCATACAAGCCGGGTGTCCGAACCCCCAGAAACCACGGCATGTAGTGGACCACATACCTATACTGAACTTAGAACCCTAGCAAAAATTAGAAATTCTAGCTGTTTCTTAGGAATCATAATAACCAAAAATCATGAAATTTCTTCAAAATTTTAAAAAGTATTTCTAAGTACCCCTAAGATACTTCGTGCGCACTTCGCCGTTGCCGGCCCCTGGGTCGGTGCTTTCGCTGGGCCGGCGCAAACAGACGGAGCTGCTCCTAAGGTGCGAGCGAGACCAACAGACATGACGTAAGTCATATATATATATATATATGTGTATATATATATATATATATATATATATATATATATATATAAATGAACAACTAATAATAATTATAATTATTGTTATTGTCATTATTATTTTTATTCTTCATATTATTGTTACTATTCCTATTACTATTATTATTGTTATTATATATGCAGGAGTCACCCGCCTGATCAAGTCTCAGGTAGTATAGCTCAAAGCAAAAAAGGCAACTCTGGCACTAGTCCCAGTGTCACCGGAGTACGCGACGGAGGCATTAATGTATCACGGACCCCCCCCCCCGTTTTACCTTACACTTTCTGAAACTTTCCGTGCCACAGCCGTCAATATGAGTCACACACCTTATCGGAATCTTTTTAGTCTAGCTCAAGACAGATACTTGTAGGAATACTCGAAATTTCCCAAGAGTACGCGACGAAGCTGTTACTGCAAACAGGCCCCCCCCTCCGTTAAACATTACCCCGCGCCTCATGTCTGGCCCCCGTGGTAGGAACCGAACATGCTTCTGCATACAAATGTGTGTGATCTGTCGTGTAGCAGAAACCTAGAATACAATCGCGAGGCAATGCGCTAAAAGCGAAACATCAACGTCATGTCGCTTCTCTGGAAACAGAGCCCTAACCAAATTCCAGGTTTTGGGTGGTTTTTGCACAGATTTTAGCGTCCTGACTCCGACATAACAGATGATTACTCCGACAGAAGGGGCTGACCCTAAACCATCCTAAACCCTGAGCCCTTGAACCCCCGGCCCTAAACCCTAAACCCCCTAAACACCTTAAGCCCTAAACCACCTACATTCCCTACCCAGAGACTCCAAAACCCTTAATTAAGGAATATACCTTATTAAATCATATAAGGGATCCTATTATAATTTAAGGTATATTCCTTAATTACGGGGTTTTGGAGTCTCTGGGTGGCCCCCCTAAACTAAACCAAGAGCAGCGTCCTCTGCGCTGTCGCCCCAATGCCCTCAGGCCGAGTCCAGAGCTCGCAGTAGCCTGGGTTCTTGTTGAGGTTACCAGGCTCCTTTAAGGGATCTATAAGGGTTCCTTTAAAGGATCTATAAGAGTTCCTTTAAGGGATCTCCAGAAAGTTGGAATATGGTTTCAGGGTAGGATACCCTATAATTTACCACAAAGGGTTTAGGATAACCATGTTCCAACTTTCTGGCTTTTACTTTAAGGGATCGATAAGAGTTCCTTTAACGGTCTATGTAGGGTTTTTCGGTTTAAGTCACCATTAGTTATAAGGAAACAATAACATTATTTACTATAGATCCCTATTGTGGTAGTATAAAAACAAACTCCTTAACAACAGCCCAGCAGCCGATGCGGTACTCGACGCCCCTGCAGATGGTAAGCTCCATGCAGCGCTCCTGTGACAGCAGCTGCGGGTCTAGTTGTATCGTGATGTAAGGCTACAAAGCTATATTATAGTATACTATAGTAATAGTACTCTATAACAATAGTCTAACTAATATAACTGTCGTATACTAAAGTTATGAATATTACAACTATACTGCTGGAAGGCTAAACTATGGTTCATCCGGGATTCGGCCTATTGAAACTTGCTTGCAGCGAGGCCTCACTCCCCCATGGACATGTGCGCAACAGGCTACATAATAATACTCTTCAGGTTGCCAGACAAAGCATTGCAAACCATCTAGGGGCCTTCATAATTAGAATAGGGTTTGGGGCAATACTAGACCATAATCATAATAAGGAACCCCGACAATAGTATAGGTAATTATAAAAGGCCCCTATGGCACTCCACTCCCGACAGACTGGAAGGATGAATAGTACTGTAATACTACTATTAATGGGGTCCTGGCATCGAGCCAAAGAGTGGGCGTGGGCTACGGAGTAGTACCCTGGCGAGTCGTCGTCCCAATCAGCACCACGGCACTCTCGATCAACGCCACCGCCCACGACTTCCTCAGAAACACGAATAACAGTAGACTGCACTATAGTTATAGAATAACAGTAGACAGCACTATAGTTATAGTATAGTTCTATTATAACTATACTAGCATACGTAAATTTAACTTTAAGAACAGTATACTTACTAGCGATATGCTTTAGTACTTTACTCTTCCATGATATACAAACAGTTTTTTGGATGGTATCCGTTATGGTGAGGTGACAGAGACCACGGATTGCCACAACCTCCCACGTCGTCAGACAGATCGCTCTATGTACAGCATCAGTAACAACAACTGTGCGCCCGCACGCGGTCCTACCTTACCATGACAGTAGAAAAACAAACATCACCCGCGCCCCACTGGCAAGGATGACAGGTTGGCAGCCCGAAGCCCTAAACGGCACCAGGCGTGAGGAGGTGGCAGCAAGCGAGATGGCGCACCAGAGTCAAGCACATAATAACACACCAGACGCTCAACGAAACAATTCAGCACAAATTTGAACACAATCTCCAGAAGACATATGGAAAGCGCTAAAGACAGCACCAAGCTATTACCCGAAACCCTATCAACCCTAAACCCCATATACAACCCTATACCCCCAAGAAACCTTAACCCGGTGAACCCCAGACCAAAACAGCCCTAGACCCCTAAACTCTATCCGTATGAATGGAAATGGTAATTATCCAGGCCCCTATACCATAGAACCCTACTACAGATCCCTTCTTGACCCCTTTAAGGAACCGAACCCGCCATATAGTTATTTAGGCCCCTATATGGGAGTTTCCGCAAATAGGGCGGGCCCTAATATAGTACCCTAAATAGTAGGATCCCTATGATACAGACCCGAAACTAAGGTACCCCTAAGTTTCGGAAGCTCTAAACCCTTATGGACCCTTATAGTCTTATAGCAACCTTTTTAAGGAACCCTTATAGTCTTATAATAGTAACCTTTTAAAGGAACCCTTATAGTCTTATAGTAACCTTTTAAAGGAACCCTTATAGTCTTATAGTAACCTCTTAAAGGAACCCTAAGGTACCCTTAATTTTCGGAAACTAGATTGCTGGAGAAATAGGGGACCGGGGACCCTAATATAGTAGCCCTAAATAGTAGGATCCCTAAAATAAGGACCCCAGAATAAGGTACACCCAATCTTCGGAAACTCCCATAGAAAGCGGAGCCGAGGATCCCAGCTCGAGGCCGCAACCTCGGCCAGAAGCTCCTGCCTGAGGAGCGAGCGGACTCTAAGATCTTTGCTCTTTTATATTTAAAAAAACAACAACAACTTAAGATCTTTACTTTCTCTTTTTCAAAAAAAACAACAACTTAGGATCTTTACTAGGACTCTGGGAGTTTAGGGGATTAGGGGAAGGGGATTAGGGGGTTTGGGCTTAGAGCCCACTCGAAGTTCCTTACTACTTGGAGGTGCGTGGTTAGCTATAAGTGAGAAAGCTATAGGTATGACCCATATTAGGGGACTTGTAGCCCTACTTATAGCTACCCCTGAACCATCCAAGTAGGGCTCTGGGAGTTGAGGGGATTAGGGGGTTAGGGTTTAGGGCTTGGGATTTTGGGTTTAGGGGTTTGGCGGATCAGGGTTTTAGGAATTATGGGATTGAGGGATTGGGGGTTTAAGGTTTCGGGGCTTTAGGATTTAGGTCTGAAGGGTTTAGGGGACTTGGGGTTTAGGGCTGACGGGGTTAGGTTTTTCGGGCTTAGTCGGGTTTCAAGCAATAGAACTGGGACTTCTGGTCGCGTTTCTTTTTGTTGTAGAAATATTCCTCAGCATGCTTCTGGTTGTATCGGAATGGACTGCGGTAGCAGTCAGCAGTACCAGAATGGCAGTAGTAATCGTCGTCATCGTCCTCGTAAAAGTGGTAGTAGTAGTAGTAGTAGTAGTAGTAGTAGTAGTAGTAGTAGTAGTAGTAGTAGTAGTAGTAGTAGTAGTAGTAGTAGTAGTAGTAGTAGTAGTGGTAGTAGTCGTGGTCGTCGTAGCAGTAGCAGTAGTAGTAGCAGTAGTAGTAGTAGTAGTAGTAGTAGTAGCAGTAGTAGTGAAAGTAGTAGTAGTAGCAGCAGTAATTAGTGGTAGTAATTGTAGTAGTAGCAGCAGCAGCAGCAGCAGTCCACCCTGTCTGCCAGAAACGCAAATGCAAGATGGGTTGCCTCATGGGGCTGCTCAGCTGGTGGCACTCAAAGCCCGTCACGGCGGCTGATGCCAGGATACCCCCAGACCTTCAACCAAAGGGGAAAGGGAGGGACCCTTAATGGGGACCCCTACCCTCTAATGGGCTATATAATGGATATAGAGTAGCTATATTAAGGGTATATACCTAGGGGTCCTCATGAAGGGTCCCTCCTTTTACCCTTGCATTCAAGAGTCTTAGGTGATCTTGGAATCTTTTTGCTCTCTGTTGAGTATGGTGCGAAGAAGCACTCTCTTGTATACTGCACTACGGAATACTCCTCGGCAGAAGACCATCACGCTATAGTCTGAAGTACTGCAGTATACTTTATGGCCAATGGGCCATGCTATGTGGATGCATGCAACTAGAATAGTGTGGCACCGAACTCAAAATCCCAAACCCCAGACCAGCAAATTCTAAATTTTACTGCAGCCTGCTTTTTCAACCCAAAACCACCCAAAACCCTAAATCCTAAGCTGAGTTTCAGCCTCGTCCACACCTCACAGCGACCCGAAGAGTACTCCACGCCCACGCACGCCTCCCAGAAGCAGAGCTCGGCTTATTTACTGCAAGTGACGTGACCTGTATAACATCTACAACTGCACTGCACATATGCCACACTCCAGGCATAATATGCCATACTCTGTGCTCAGACCGTACAGAGATCAGGTAGTACGTCAACGACTACAGCCCGCGAGAATAGCACGACTGCAATTCAGCAAAGCAAGCTCAGGCCCCAAACCGCTGCTGCTGCTTCTGCTTCTACTTCTACTTTTGCGTCTACTTGTGTTTCTACTTCTACTTCTGTTTCTACTTCCACTTCTACTTCTACTTCTACTAAACTATTCCTACTACTACTGCTACTACTACTCCTACTACCATTACCACTACCATTACCATATCACTACCCCTACCACTTCTACTACTACTACTACTACTACTACTACTACTACTACTACTACTACTACTACTACTACTACTACTACTACTACTCCTACTACTCCTACTACTCCTACTACTCCTACTACTCCTACCACTCCTACTACTCCTACTACTCCTACTACTCCTACTACTGCTACTGCTACTGCGACCACCACTAGTGACGAATTCTACCACGACTACTACTACTACTACTACTACTACTACTACTACTACTACTACTACTACTACTACTACTACTACTACTACTGAGAACGCAGACCAGGGCCGGCCTGTGTGTCTGCACATCGGCTCTTGCAGGCTGCCAGCGATGTCTCAGAGGAAACAACCTCTGCCCGCACTATGATGCTACTAGAACAATAAGACTACACATGATACTATAATCCTACTATAACACTAGATTACTACTATAGTTTTTGCTATAATAATACTGACTATAACCATAATAATGCCATAGTTATGCCAGCATAGTATACTACTTGTGTATAGGGCTCGGCTAAAGGATACTGGATACATTGAAACTCTTAGCAGCACGTCTGCCACCTCCATCCCAAGCAAGCACTTTGATTCTTGAAGCCTAAACCCGAAACCCCAAACCCTAAACTATAGCCTAAAAACCTAAACCTATGAGCATCCCTAAACCCTAAAATCCCCCTAAACCAAGGAGACGAGGTGCATAGTAGTCGGCAGAATTGTCGGTCACACTCGCGCCGCGGCAGGCTCGGTCGATGCCACCATCCACGGGGTGGAAGGCTAGTGCCTGGAGTCATATTATACTATAACAGTGATACTAATGCCACAGCAAGACTACAATGATACTATAATACTACTATAATATTGAGAAAATAATACTGACTATAACAATAACAGCAATACTACAATAATAGTGTAGCTCCAAAAGTAGTAGACCACTTGTGTAGAGGGTTGTAGGGGAGGGACAGCAGCACATGGGAGTTTTCCGAAAATCCGGGGACCCTAATATAGTACCCCAAATGTAGGATCCGTATTATCAGGACCCCAAAATAAGGCACCCCTAGTTTTCGGAAAGCCTATAAACCCTTCTAGAGCCCTTCAAAGGAACCCTTATAGTAACCCTTTAAAGGAACCCTTAGGTACCCCTAATTTTCGGAAACTCCCACATGACCAGTGCGCAGCTTCACAGGTCAGGGTCCGGGCCTCGAGGCATTGATAGTTGGCCAGCTGAAAGGAAGCCTTGGTTCTTGTCCAGGGGTTAAGGTTTAAGTTACCATCATAGGGATCTATGGATCTATAGTATGTTATAGAAATAATATTATAGTAATACTATTACTGTGATAATATTAGTAAAGAATATGATGGTTGCTTTAAGGAAGAGCCCAGAAGCCTCAATGCCAGCCCGTCGGGTCCAAACCTCACAGCGGGTGTTGATGAATTCGATGCCCACGCAGCCCGACCACTGACGGCAGCGATTCTTGCCTAGGTTTTTTGTAAAAAACAATAGGTTGTTTAGGTTTTTAAAAATGTGTGTTTTTAAAAACTGTGCTTTTAAAGCCTTTGAAACATATTAGCAAAGAAGAACCTCTTAAGCCCAATAAGGGAAAATGTAAAATGTCCCAAAGCCCTACCTAGTTGCAGTCTTCCATGTCCGTGACCGTGAAGACCTCGAAGTAGCTGGCAGAGTTGTCGTTGGGGTCGGCTCCACGGCAGGCCCGATTCACTCCACCGTCCACGGGCCGGAAGACCAGCTCTTGGCTAGCAGGGTCCGAAGGCGGAGGCTCCGCCGCAACGGTTGTCATTGTAGTTGTGGTCAACAGCGTGGTCAAGGTTGCAGTGCGGGTCGTTGTCGCAGTGCTGGACGTGGCTGTCGCCGTGGCTGTCGCCGTGGCTGTGACAGATGTCGTTGCTGGCATAGTCACGCGATAGCATGTGAACCCTGCAATGGCAACCGATGCTTGGATGCCCTCCACACGTGTCCAGATCTCACATCTCCCCGGAGAATGCTCAAGACCCCGGCACTCAGGAGTGACAAGGCACTGCCGCTCGCACTCCTCAAGTGTCTCGTGGGGATGGAGGACATAGTGAGCTGGATTATTATCACCCGCCGTCGAACCTCGGCAGGCCCTTCCGACACCCCCATCCACCGGCTCGAGGCTCGCGAGCCGGCGGTAGCACTCGGATGATTGGAAAGGAGCCGATGCTTGGATTCCACCAGGCCTGGTCCAGAGCTCGCAGCGCAAGTTGGAAGGGTGGTACTCCACACCCTGGCACGTCGGCATCGTCAAGCAATGCCACTGGCAGAAGGACAAGTCAGCAGCAGAGGTGAGCAGGTAGTTTGTCGGAGAGTTGTCTGTCACGCTCCCTCCGCGGCAAGCCCTGCTGGAGCCGCCATCAACCGGCTCAAAGAGTAGGGCACTGAGCTGGAGCTCCATCCTCTCACTGCCTCGAAGCATGTGCTGACGCGGAATCAGCCCGCACGCAGCTGCCAAGAGCCCACACACCAGCAATGCTGGCAGGAACTGCTTCCGGCCCACTAGGCCCTGGCCCTGGCTGCGTGGGCTATCGTCAAGCTGCAATCCCGAGACATGGAGAAGCGGCTCTTCTCCTTGGTCCATGTCCAGATCGGCATCCGACATTGCATGATCTTCCACCGGGCTGTGCATGAGTCTCGCGAGTCTCGTGCTCACGTAGGCTACAAACTCGGCCGCTGTGTCTTTTGCGCCAACAAATCTGCGTAAATTGCTACAATAAACAATCGAAACTCACTTGAACTATCTACATGTGTATATATATATAAGTATAGTTCAAGTAAATTTCGATTGTTGTATATACTGCCGCTATATACTGTGCTGCCAATGGCCTCAGACCCCATACATCCGATTCTAGATCTCCAGATATCTCCAGTCTCCTCTCCACCACGTCTAACATGACTTCTCGGGAGATGGCCTGGATGTTGTGTATCAAAGTATGTAGAACGAAGAATGATAGGTATTGGGCCATTATTTTACCTACTTTGGGGGGTTTAGGCACTAGTAAGGTACAAGTATAATGCTGTTATAGTGGACCCTATGCCCTAAACCCCTAATGGGTTTTGGGTTTAAGGATTCTGGCAGCCTCAGATTGAAGCAGCAAGTCCGTGAAGCTTAGGACCCACGGTTTGAAGGCGTTGTATAGGGGCCTTTATAATTAGAATAGGGTTTTGGCGCCCATTATGCTATACTTAATAAGGAACCCCCAAAATAGTATCGGTATCTGCAAGGCCCCTACATTACGGCCTGGTTGATCTGCAGACCGCAGTATCTTTCATCGCCTGCGCTATGGCCTTGAGCGCTGTCCAATTGCACCCACAAAACTCAACCATCCCTGCCGTCGCGATACCCTCTAGGATACCCAGTAACCTAAGAAAAAAAAGGCCTCTCTTTTTGGTATTGGGTAATAACTTTATAAGGAACCTAGGACTACAAAAAGGGAATAAGGGTACTACTGGGCATCCTAGCCCTAAGCCCTACCTCGAAACCCGAAACCCTAAAACCCTAAATCTCCAAAGCCGCTGGAGGTTTTTGCTGCGGCACTCAGCAAAATCACAACACTACAAACATCGGTGAACCTCTGCGTTGGCTCCGAATGTCGGCACGATGCCAGATGCCTTGAAAGACTGCTGTCACATGGGAGTTTCGGAAAATAGGGGACCCTAATATAGCACCCTAAATAGTAGGATCCTTACTATAAGGACCCCAAAATAAGGTACCCCTAATTTTCGAAACTCCCACATCTGTTCGACTTCGAGGAACCTTCTGTTCAACCCATTGTAGAATTTTTGTACTACGCCCTAAACCAGAAAACCGTAGAAAATCTTACACTATACCCTGAACCCCCAAAACCGTATGGAATCCTACGCTATGCTCTTGCAATGATAACAGGCAATAACTCCTTTGACTTCTCCGAACAAACTGAGGCTTTGGACCTTCAGGTTTGGCTTCGACTTGATTCTGTTGAGTTTGGGCTTTGGGGTCTAGGGTTTAGGGTCAGCCTGATACCCCTAAACCACGAATCCTTAAGCAAACTTTTCTGAACAAGGCTCTTGCTTTTGCTCGGCGCATGAAGTTTGCCGACGTTCAAAAAGGCCTGAAATCTGAAACGTTACTGAGCCCCCTGCTGCAAGTGCTGGGTGCTGCTAGGTCTCGACTCCAGATTTGTCGTCGACACAGCATGGGAGTTTCCCAAAATAGGGGATCCAAATATAGTACCCTAAATGATAGGGTCCTTATTGTAAGGACCCTCAGATAAGGTACCCCTAATGTTCGGAAACTCCGCATATCTATATTGGTTGCGGGGTTAAGGTCTTTTAGTTTTTCGGGCAGATGTTTCAGGGTTTACAGCTTAAGGGTGCAGGTCTACTTGGAGGTTCATGGGCAGTTATAAGTAGGGTCACAAGTAGGGTAACTATACTTAGAAGCCATATGAGGGCACTTATAACCCTACTTATAACTACCCCTGAACCTCCAAGTAGGCACTTGGTGCAGAAGCCACATCAACTGTCCTGATATGCGACTGGGTGACCTCTGCAGCCTCGGCATGTCCAGAGGTCTGTACGCCGTGCCTTCGCTCGTGGTGGTGAGCAGGAGGGGACTGCGAAAATTTTCATGCACAGGGTGTTTAGGGGCCCACTAGCTGGCGACCCGAGCCCTAAACTACCCCAAACCCTGGGGCTTTAGGGTTTAGGGTCAGCGTTTTGCAAGCGGCATGATCGCATCTGCCAGAGTGTGGTCGCTGCCCGCAGATGTGAAGCTGTGAGGTGGGGCCATCCTTGGCAGCAGTGTGCTCACATGCAATGCTGCAGCCTGGCGCTACGGTTACAAGGATAGGTGCAACTGCTGGCAGAGACCCTATAGATATACAAGTATGGATAGCGAACTGACATATATATATATATATATATATTTCTATTTATTTATAAACAAGATATAGATAGATCGGTAGATAGATAGATAGATAGACAGATCCGTAGATACATAGGTAGATACAAAGACAGATAGACAGATCGACAGATAGAGATACAGCTCAGATATAGACGTAAATACAGATATAGGATATAGATAGATCGGTGGATATGATAGAGCGATAGAAATAAAGATAGATAGTTTGACATGTAGACAGCTAGATGCATCAGCTTGTCATAAATACAATATATACATATCATATACAAGAAGAGACATATCGAGACATATACTTAACCCTGCAAAGTAGGTAAAATACTGGCGCAATACCTATAAAAGGCCATTATTCTACATACTTTGGGGGTCCAGATACCCATGGCAGCATGAGACCCACGGCCCTGAGTTCCCAACTGTGCGCCGGCAGCGCTTGCCTCTGAAGCAGAAGGCCCTGCGCAGGGTTTCAGCTCCGGGCATCGGATCGGCTCTGAAATCAGTTCACTTGGAGGTTCGGTCCCTTAAAGGGGTCTATAGGGATTCTATAAGGGTATAGGGTTTAGGGTTCAGGGGTATACTTAGAACTAAGTCCTCTCCTCTAATAGGGATTATAAGTATACATGCCCTACTTATAATTTGAAGGGTCATGGGACTTAGTAACTGGGGTTATAAATAAGGTAACCATACTTATAATAGCTTATATCTCCCCAATTAAGGTACTTATAATCTTACTTACTAAGTCTCATGATCCTTCTAGCAAGGCTAGAGCCTCACCAACGTAGTATAGGGGCCTTAATAGTTAGAATAGGATTCTCTTTAAGGGATACTGTAAAGGTAGGGTTCTTTTTAAGGGATACCATAAAGGTACTATTGGGTTTAGGGTTAAGGGCCTAGGGCCCTTAATGATTAGAATAGGGTTTTGGAGCCCACTATACTACAAATACAAAAAGGAACCCCTAAAATAGTGTTGGTACGTAATTCAGTACATGTAATATGTAATATAAAGAGTCCTGAAATTTTGCATAGGATTTTCGTCGGGAGGATAAGGGGATAATACATACATTGAACTACCACCCCCCACCCCCTCGTATGATTACCGTACAGTTTCTTCAGGCCCGCAGTGACGGAATTAAGGGCAGCATGGTCACAGAGTCATAGCCTCCCGGCATGTCACAACCCCAGGAGAATGTAAAACAACTTTACTTTTACCCTTAGCGCGACAACACACAGCTGCTGCCGGCGACAAGGGTCTTCACATGAAGGGACTACGGAGATACCACCCAGAGGTCAGCTGTTTCTGTTGAAATTCCTGCTGCTAGCCCTTAGGGTTTCGGGTGTACCACGACGACAAAACTGACGACGACAGCTGCGGGGTACTGTATACTACAACTACTAACATCTCCTCGGCCATTCTCATGGGCACAATGCTACTACAACTACACTTCTGCAACTGACTACCATCATGTCTACGACCTTTTGTTTCAACATGCAGAAGAGAACGGTGGTGCAGCTCCCGGCCTCCGTCCACTGCGGGAGTTCCTCGCGGCGCGAACGAACAGTTGGAGGCTTGTCTAATTACTATAGAGGTTTAGGGTTTACGGTTTCAGATCAGAAGCAACCGTTCCAGATCTGGGTCTACAGGCTTCGGGAAAGATCTGGTCTCATGCAGGTTTCGGGCTTCAGAGTTGGGGTTTTGAGCTCAGGGTGTCGAGGTTGGGGGATTGGGGGCTTGGCTTTGCACCAACAAATCGAATACAGAACCTTTGTAGGAGGTCCTATGAACCCGAGACCCTCATAGACTCCCTGTAGTGACTAGCATGACTAGTAGAAACCCTTACAGATAGAACCCTGAAATAAGCCTCATAGAGCCCTCATGGCACCCTTAGTTCAGGGGTCTGGATGACCCTGAACCCCTAAACCCTAAACCCCTAAACCCTTAAACAGGTGCCCCCTGTGGCCTCCCAGGAGCTCGTCATCCTCTGCGCCCGGAGCCGTCTCGCCCGAAGCAGCCGTGGGGTCCTCGTGGGGGAGCTGCTGCTGATTTAAAAGTCCTGCATTGCCCATAACAAGTTGGAAGTACCATCGTGCGCGCAGCCAGCCCCAAGCAAACCGACTCAAATCAGAAATATGAGAGCCAAAGCGGCAAGACTTCGTAAACCCTGAACCCCCAAACCCTGAACCCTAAACCCTGAACCCCAAACCCTGAAACCCCTAAACCCTGAACCCAGAATGAGGTACTCCCACAGGCAACGCTGTGCTCAGTGGCTCCTCTGCCGCCTGCGCCGCTGCTGCATTTGGCAACACATCCGTGGCCCACCTGGGCTTAGGGGTTAATTACTAGGATACCCAGTAACCTAAGAAAAAAAGGCCTCTCTTTTTGGTATTGGGTAACTTTATAAGGAACCTAGGACTACAAAAAGGGAATAAGGGTACTACTGGGCATCCTAGATTACCCCGCCCTGAGTGCATCATGATGCTATAGTTACTGTAGTGACCGCAGCACCCTACTCTAATCATTAAGGTCCCTCTGCTCGCTGAAAGCCTGAACCCGAAGCCCTCAAAATGTTGCATGACTTGAGACAGATGGAGAGAGCGAAAGCTTCGTGCATCTTCCCTCCTTGCAGGAGCCTGAAGCTCAGAGTTAGGGTTAAGGGTACCCAGAGACTCCAATAGTCCTGATTTGAGGAATATACCTTAAATTGCATCAGGATCCCTAATTTGGTTTAAGAAGC